AGCAGGAAATGTGTCACATTAGGTAAGCAGAATGGGTTGCAATGGCAAACACCATTTCATGTTGACTTTAAGACAACTACAGGAATGAAACCGATGCAGTCAATGCCCTAAGTGACATGACACACAGAGAACTCATGACACCAGGGTACAATAATCTATCGAGAACAGCGAATACAGTACATGTGTCATCCTCCCATTAGACATGCCCCCCCACCCCCATTTATAGAGAAAATATTTCCTTTGTCTGAGGAGGTCTACTTTTAAACCCCTGATTAATGCAGAGAGGGTGACAAAGCTTCTTGAGTAAAAGTAGGTTAAAGGACAAAGCTGATGCAGCGGGTCTGAGAGGTCGCTAACTGTAGTTTTATAAAGCTCAATCTAGATGGACAAACTCTAGGTGTCAAAATGTGTAATGAGCTGCTTTGCATGATGCAAATACTCTCAAAAGAAGAGATTTCCTTGTTCATTAGTAAGACACACACACGACAGTCCTGCCTAGTCACCTGCTACCCGAAACTTCTGTGGCCTAACATTCAGTCAAACACGGCTGAAATTTATACTGCATGCTTGCAAACTGATGTTACACATAAAGACCCTTTATTAACACACTAATTATGGAAGAGGAACAAAACTGATGGAGCGTGAAGATTCGGACTGAGTGTCTGCACAGTTGGATGGCAGGAAACGATAGGATGTGGTTTCTAATGAAAAAAAGATAGGCCTGTAACAGCTGCTAGATCACAGTCGCACACACACACACACACAGTTCTGCATCTGTCACTCACATGTGTGTCATTATCTTATGAAGGAAGACACCATCCACTAAATCCATGAACATGGAGAGCTTGTCTTCTGAAACGGACCCAAGGGGTCCAAAAGTCTTGACCTGTAAAAAATAAATAAATAGATCAAATGAAGTAGGTAGTAATATTATGACAGGATGCACGCACAGCTGCACAAGCATGCTTTCTGTTTCAGAACTGAACTGCAGTGTACAAAATTTTAAACAGATACTTGTAAGATCGTTTTTAATAAATATTAAAGGGGTCATATTATGCTGCTAAAAAGAACATTATTTTGTGTATTTGGTGTAATGAAATGTGTTTATGCGGTTTAAGGTTAAAAAAACACATGATTGAAAACACTCTGATTGGCCAGCTATCTAGTGCATTGTGATTTGCCGAATACCTCAAGCATGTGACGGAAATGTTATGCCCCTTACCATATGTAGTCTACTCTACCAGGATCAGGAAACAGTCCTCCATAAAACGTACTGCACACATCTGAATATTTGGGTTGAACTGTTCTGTAACAATGTAGTAAATACAACTTAACCACTGATTTCTAGTCGTGTCCTCTTTTGGAAGGCCAA